AGCCGCAGCCTGCCCCGCGGGGAAGCGAGCGCGGCGCGGGACAGGAATTGGGGCCGGGATCGGAGCTGGGGCGCTGGAGCTGCCTGCTGACCGCCCCCCTCTCCCCTGGGCAGTGCGACTTCACCGAGGACCAGACCGCGGGTAGGTCACCACGTCCCCCCGGGCCCGCTCAGGGAGACGCCCCTGCCCGCCCATTCCCGACCCCAGCCTGTCATCTCTTCGGCTCCCCGGGAGCAGCTCCTGGGCCCCCTGCTCCCGTCTCTGGCGCTTCCATTTTCTTTTCTCACCTTCTCCCCCCCCCCACTCTAGATCTGAGCCCCAGCACTGGGTGAGTTTTAGGTGGTGTGTGCGCGTGTGAAACTGCTACCCCAGAAGCCTGCTGTGCACTAAGCTGCCGCGCCGGCCCCTAACCCGCCTGTCTCCTCTCCCTGCGACTTCTGTCCCCCACCCCGCCCGCTTGGAGTTGGGCAGCTTGTTAAAAGCAGCGCGCCTACTTTGTGATAATGGGGACAGGGCAGTTTGCCGGGGACGAGCCTTCGTGGCTGTAGCCTCCAAAAGGTCTTTCTCTGGGCAGAAGGGGTGGGGAGGGGCAGGCCGCAGTGACCCCAGTCCCGGCTGCGGCTCCCACTTCCTTATAAGGACAGGACCAGACTGGGCGGTGGCAGATTCCTGCCCCAGCAGGGCCGGGAAGGCTGGGCAGGCCCGGGGCGAGGGGGGTGTGGAGGCGGAGGGAGGCTTTGTCTTTCCTTGGACACCTGAGTATGGCGACACTGGATCCCGGTAGTGAACTGGGGTGTACAGCGGCTCAGATATCTTGGTTTCCTCAGCGCGGTCGGTCGGATGGCAGCGGGGCTCCGGGTGGGCGCTGATGTTGCTCTGACCCCTCAGAGTTCAAGGAGGCCTTCCAGCTGTTTGACCGGACAGGGGATGGCAAGATCCTGTACAGCCAGTGCGGGGACGTGATGAGGGCCCTGGGCCAGAACCCCACCAACGCCGAGGTGCTCAAGGTTCTGGGGAACCCCAAGAGTGATGGTGAGGGCCCACAGCTCTTCAGTTGGTAGTGGGCCCACGGCCTTCAAGCTAAAAGCTTCCTTTACGCTCTTAGGCCCCAAACTCAAGCAGGTCTGTCCTGACTGGAACCCACCCCCGCCCCCGTGTCCCCTGCCTGGCGTGGAATCTGGTTCAGTGGTGACCCCTGACCCCTTGTGCCTGTCCCTTACGCTGCCTCCTTTATGGCAGAGATGAACGTGAAGGTGCTGGACTTTGAGCACTTCCTGCCCATGCTGCAGACAGTGGCCAAGAACAAGGACCAGGGCACCTACGAGGACTACGTGGAAGGCCTGCGGGTGTTCGACAAGGAGGGGAACGGCACGGTCATGGGCGCCGAGATCCGCCACGTCCTTGTCACGCTGGGTAAGGCTCTGGCCTGGCTCCCAGGCACAGCTGGCGCGAGACACCCACTTCCAAAAAGGCTTAATGTTTCCTGTCCCTCTGCAGGAGAGAAGATGACAGAGGAGGAAGTCGAGATGCTGGTGGCCGGGCATGAGGACAGCAACGGCTGCATCAACTACGAAGGTGAGGGCGGGCGGGGGCTGGCGGGCCTCTGCGGGAGAGCAGCCCTGAGCACAGGATCTGCGGCCTCCCTGCCCCTCAGCCGGGGCTCCAAGAAGTGCTGGGGGCAAGGAGCAGGGCGACCTGGTCCAGGGAGGGGGCTGGTGTCGACATGGGAGAGGAAGGAGGAAGGGCGCTGCTGGCAAAGGGTGGGGAAGGAGGGGAGTCGAGGAGCGAGTGTCTGCCTTCCCCTCACCGGACCCCTTCACCCCGTGTGTCTCGTCTTCACCATTAATGTCTCTTCCTTCCTGCAGCGTTTGTGAGGCATATCCTGTCGGGGTGACTGGCCATGGGGCGGGTACGGCTCCTCCCGGCCTCCCTTCTCTAGTCGGCCTCCCGTGTTCCTCCAGCCTTTGCTCTCTAGCCCTGCCCTCTCCCCTCCCGCCTTCGACTTCCTCCTGGCATGTTTCTGCATGGGGCTGGCGGGGCGGGGTCCTCAAAGAGGAAGATGGCCTGGGGGTGTGGTACCTGGGCTGCTAAAGGGCTCTCCTAGCACCCTGGGTCCCCTCTTGCTTTAGGGCGAGCCCTCGCCCCAGCATGGTTGCCATAGTGAAGGTGGGTCTGCCCTACTCCCCTGCTGTACTTCCTTCCGCTGGGCAGCTTGGAGGTACCGTAACCCAAAACTGTCCTCTCCCGCCAGTGGCTGACAGTAGCTGTAGGCGTAGTTGAAACTTTCCTGCCTCTGCTGTGTTCCTGCTGCTCAGGGTGGGGCGGGACTAACAGCGCCGGAGGGAAGCTGGGGCTGGGCTCAGCAGGCCTGTTCCCTACGCTGCCGTGGGGTCTTGTGGGCCCCCGGCCCCCGGCAGACCTCCCCGTGGCCCTGCTCCCGGGCTCACCCCGCTTCCTCTCCACAGAGCTCGTCCGCATGGTGCTGAATGGCTGAGGACCCCCAGCACGCCCGGAGCCGGCGCGGCCCGAGGCTTCCTAGGTCGCAGGCAGCTTGTCTCCCAGCTGGACGATGTCTGCGTGAGCAGTCACCAAATAAACTCGCTTTCTGTGCCCTGGGTTCAGTGCTGCTTTCCTCTGAGCAGGGTGAAGGGCTGAAGGTGAGACAGACCAGGGTCCAGTGAAGGGGCGGGCGGGTGGGGAGGCTGGGGGAGGGCCTGCAGTGCGGAATACTGGCCCATCCTGGCCCATTCACTGACGCCGATGAAGGGCTAGACCTGGTGGCCGAGGGGGCGGGACTCCTGGAGCACCGAGGCAGGGCGCCACTTTCCTGCTCCCACCCATTTCCTCCTGTTCCCGACATCAGGCTAAGTCCTCTCCTGCCTCTCGGCCCCAGCCCCTGGAGGCCGTCTGGGGGAGCTGAACAGCGCTGGAAGCCAGGCCGCTCCCCGGCCGGGTTAGGGAGCAGAACCGGAGAAGGGGTGCTCGCGGGCCCTGCCTAATAAGGGAAGGAATGAGGCCGCCCAAGCCCCGGCTGTCCTTCCTGCCCAGCCTCCCTCCTTCCAGGTCGTTCCCAGCTGTTTGCAGGGAAGTGACAGCCTCTGCCCGGCAACTGGGGGGGGGGGCAGCGTCTGGCCCTGGCGGCCCATGGGGAGGGCCCAGGGAGGCTGTCCCCAGCCCAGCCCCCGCCTGCAGCCACACCTAGCAACACAGAAGGCATCCACAGGTGTAACTGAAAGCAAATTAATTTATAAAAAAAAAAGGAAAGAAAAAAGAGAACATTTACAGAAACTTCAACAGAAGAGTGCCAAGACGCAAAGGGAGGAAGGGCCGTGAGGGACACGGGCCTGCAGGGCCCAGGAGCTCTGGCGCCGGCCTGGCTTGGGGGGGCGCTGGGATCCTGGGGCGGAGCCCTGCCGCCCCGGAGGCCACCACGCAGCTGGGCGCCCCCCCTCCCTGGTCCGAGTCCTCACCCAGGGGACCCCTGACTACCAGTCAAGGTCCCGATGGCGCTGGTGGAGGGGAGAGGCCCGAGGGGTGGCCCACCCTGCCGCAAGGAGGTGCTTAAGTGCTTCTTAAAATTCCAGACTTTTACAACTCCCCACCCCTCCCTGCTCCCTTGCCAAGCCTCCTCGGAGCCACTGACCAGCCGGGAGGGGAGGAGCAGCCCGCGTACCCTCTTCCTCGCTCACCTACCACAGGGTCCCCAAATAAGTCCCCCACCGAATACACTACGTCCACATGACTATGCAGGTGGCTTTCAGAAACACACAAATGACGCTCAGCGGGGCCAGGGCCACGGGCCGAGCGGGGGTGGCCGGAAGCGACACGGGGCAGCAGCAGGAGACATTAGTAGGGATAAATGGGGTGGGCTGGTGGCTGGGGTTCGGGAATGGACTCGTCACTAACAAGGGCCTGCACAAGGCAGATTCTGAGCCCTATTCTACCCCCGAACCCTAATTCCCCTTTCCTAAAACACCTCCCTCCTCAATCGTAAAAGCAGGATTTTTTAGTGGGCGGAGAGCTCCAATGTGGCTTTTTTGTGTCTACTCCCTTTTGAAGGGCTTACGTTAGCCGTACAAAATGCAGTAGTTTTGAGGGGTGCACCCCAGAAGTGGTCAGTGGGAGCCTTGTACGCACACTCCCCCAGCGCTTCCTGAGGGCTGCGCCTGGCCTCTCCCTGCAGACTCATCAGAAACATCTTTTACACAAGTCCTGGGGCGATCCGCGGTGGGCTGGGGCAGGAGCTTTCCTTACGTAGTGAGGCTCCCCTGCGGGGGAGGGCTGTTCCTGGAGCCTTGCTTTCCACGGGGGGTGAGGGAGAGTTGTCTGGCTGGCTCCTCACTGTGGGGGCGGCACGGGGGTGACCGCGCCTGGGCTTGGGGCCGTGGGGTCTGGAGGCAAGGGCGTGCCTGGGTCTGTGGAGACACGGCGGGCGAGTTAGCCGGGGTCAGCGGGCGCGGGCGCCGGACTGGCCACCTCAGACAAACAGCTGGCGTGCAATGGTGGGTAATGAGCGAGGTGCCGTGAGGACAGCTCCCTGTTCCCAAGCCCTCATCCCCTCACCCTGGGGAAACTGACGGGCCCCAACTCCCTGCCCTGAGGGAACTCTAAGTGGGGCACCCGGGCGTGATGGCGACGAGCAAAGGGGACGCGCATCATGCAGACAGGCAGCTGCCTTTCAAGTTTACAACAGACGCTCTGTGCCACAGGACTCCTGGGCCCAGCGGGCAGGCGGAGGCAGCCAGAGGCCCTTCCTGGGGCGCTAATCTCCACAGTGCTCAGACGGGTGGGCGCTCTAGTACGTGACCTGACCCCACCTGCCGCCATCCCTCCGCGAGGACCCCCCCTCCCCTCCAGGGCCCTTCTCACCTGGCAGTGGGCTGGCACTGGGCAGGAGGCTGCCCTGAACGGCTGCCACAATGGCAGGGCTCTGGGCTGCGGCGGATCCGAGCCCCGGCCCGAGAGGCAAGGAAGATGGCGTGGTGGTGGTCGCCGGCAGGTTAGGGTGCAGGGGGTTCGCCATGGACACAGGCAGGTTAGGTGGGGGGAGGGTGCCCGGGCCAAACGGGAGGTGGTGGTGATGCCCATGCAGGTTAGGGGGCGGGGGGAGGTTAATGCCGATGGAGTCGGCTAGACTACCGAATGGGATGACGGATGGAGGAGGAGGAGGCGGCATGCCGAAAGGCAAACCCAAAGGAGCATTACCCGCCATGCCTGGGTGCCCGCTGCCTGGCACTGCCCCTGGCATCATTGAGGGAGGAGTTTGTTGGTTGGGGAACGGTGAGGGGCCTGGGAACAAAGAGGAGAACCCCGAAGGTTAGGGGCACAGTCTCATTTACCAGCCCACTTTCAAAGCAAGGGGGGCCGGTCTCTCCGGCGCTCCTTTCCGCCTCCTGGCGCCACAGCCGGGGCTCTCTGGGACACATTCCAGAGATCTGGCTGTGGGGGGCCCTACTCGGCTTAGGGCTCAGGCTCAGGCCTGGCACAGGTGGGTCTGGCAGAAACGGCAGTCCCACCACACCCTCCTTTGCAGGGGCCTGAGACGTTCACCTGAGCCCTGTCATGAACAGGGGCTCCAAACCCCCACTTACCATGGGGTCCAGGGGGGGGTACCCCTGGTGGGACCGCCCCAGGCTGGGGGGCTCCAGCGGGTGGCTGTTGCTGTGGCACCGCAGTGGATCCTGCCTGCCCCATCTGCTCGGTCGGGCCCAGGCTGCCAGGAGGGGCCCCGCCGCCAGCGGGCGCGGGGGCG